TAATCATCCCTGTCAGCATGTGAGTGGAATTCCTGGGCATTGTGGCTTATTCGTAAATATTCATTGATTCCACCCATTGAAGTAATCTCCTCTACCACCACCCCTTAAATAGATTTTTAAGATTGAAAACTAGGATCTGTGGAATGTTTTTGGTGACCAAAGTGTACTCTGGAGTACAGAGAAGTGTGTGTCTGTCTGTTTAAAACAACAACATGTGGAACAAGTAAATGGGATTATCCAGTTGACACTGAGAGAATATGGCAGCGAAGAGTCAGGAATAGACTTTCACGTTGTCTAATACAAATAAAACCCCTCTTTCTTTCTAATAAAAAAAATGATTTGGGCTGCTTACAGCTTGGCAGAAGCAATTAACAGTAAGACTTAGGAGCCTTCACTTTAGGATTTGTGGTACCTCAGCAGGCTAGGGGGAGAAAGGTTGGAAAGGTGGAGTCAGATTACTTTGTCACAGCTGCATTCCTCTATTCAGGTACCCCATCTGGCCTGTGTGTGTGTTTCTTTGAAGGTGACTGCATAGAATCTGTTGGGGAACTGTCTTCCCCACTGCAAAACAGTCTCCTTGCCGAGGTGAACAGCCTGTTCTGACTTGGATACCATAGTTGGTGCTCAGCCTGGGAATGTAACATTGGATGCAGTCATGGGCATGGTAACACGCATGCCTTTGTTCACATCAACCAATTGCACCTTCTGCGCATTTAACACGCATTCAACCTACACAGTTTCAGCCACATGCGTGCTGGATGAAATTGCACAAAGTGGACAGCTTAAAAGCCGTTTTTGCACCAGGTCTGCTTGGGCTCACCCTGTGTGAAAAGAGGTTTTAAGCTCTTTGCACTACTTTCTGGGCAAGTCCTGCTCAGTGTGCTAGCTCTGGGAATACAGAGAGCTATCTCTCCCCTCCCAAACTAGGCATCGGGGCAGCTCCAGGGGTTTGGGTATATGCGATTTTCATGTATACACAGAACCCTATGAACTGACACCCTGTGTGAGATTCAGTCATACAGTAGTTTAAGTCGGGCTACCTTTGGAAACTTCAAGGAGTTTGCTGATTACAGCCAGTTTTGAGGAGCTTGTGACTCACTACCTGCCACAGCTACGCTGATTCCCAGTCTGTTTTCAGGCCAAAATCCGAAATGGGGGCTATGACCTTTTGAATCATTAATGACTAGGGACCAGGGTTCTTCAAGAACTCTCTTTCCCCTGATGAACTTGTCCTTAAGATTTTCTGGAAAGGCTGCCCTTTGCATCCCACCAGCATCTGAGCAGTGTGTCTGTTTGGGATGTGGGCTCTCTCTGTGGCCATTCCAAGCCCGTGGAACTGTCTTCCTAGTGCAGTGATGGCAAACCTTTTAGAGACCAAGTGCCCAAACTGCAACTCCAAACCCACTTATTTATCGCAAAGTGCCAACACGGCAACTTAACCTGTATATCTCATTTTTCCCCCTGTGTGTTTCATATTTCTTCTTTATGACTGCTGTTGTAATAAATAATCCTTCATAAAAGTTATTGCATTACATTCTTCTTTAAATTTTCTTTCCATTGATATATAATTTTATGGTATAACTCAGTGCTATTTTTCTAAAAAAATGTTTAGGGGTACTCCCATATTGACTCAAGAAAATCACCACTGGGGGAAAAATAAATACAGTTCAAATTGGGAAAAATAAATACAGTTCAAATTGGGAAAAGTGTTCCGGTTTTGGAACGTTTTTCGGAAGCCGAACATGCTCTGTTCTGAGTATAACTTCCATTTTGAGTGCCACACTTAATTTTCCTGGTGAGTGGAGGCAGGCCGGGCAGCAAGCAAGCAGGCACCTGCCGCCCACCAGCACTGTGTCCCTCCACTGCCGCTGCCACAACAGCAACCACCCCCTCCTCCAGCTCTGGCAGCCCCAGCGCTGAGTGAGGGAAGGCTGGTTCAGCCCTGCTGGGGCAACTGCGCGCGTGCCCACAGAGAGGGCTATGAGTGCCCTCTCTGGCATGCGTGTCATAGGTTCGCCACCACTCTCCTAGTGGGTTCTGCCTGGCCCTCCTTTCTTGTGGTCCTCTGTTGCAAGAGGAGGACTTTTCTTTTACAGCAGATATTTGACCAGCTGCTCTGTTAAGGTTTTAGTCTTTGTATTTCAGTCTGAATCTGTCCCCCGCCCCCGTTTCCCTTGTATTTCACTTCACTGCTTGTTATTTTAACTATGTTTGTGTTGTGAGTGGCTTTGGGCATTTTTTTTTTTAAATGGACAGCTGAAGTAAGAATGGTTTTAGTAAGCTCCTTGTAAAACATGCCAGAAAGGTTCTGCTTTTCTGTTGTTCAAAGACTTGGATTTACCTTTGCTGGAATGTTTGTTGGCAGATGTGCTTAGGGAGCCTTTTCCCGGCAGTTGTGCTGGCTGCGGCTGATGGGAATTGCAGTCCAAAACATCTGGGGGGGGGCAGCAGAGTGCCAAACACTGGTACATCCCTCTGAAATCTAGCAGGAGGAGATTTGTTTTAGGAAAATAAGAAGAACCTTCGGGTTCAAGGCAGTGTCCCATCTACAGCATCCTTCTCTCACAGTGGCCAACCAAATGCCCCAATGGGAAGCCCACAAGCAAGATTTGAGTGCAAGAGCCCTCTCCTGTCCTGTGGTTTCTAGCAACTGGTATTCAGAAACATTACTGCCTCCAGCTGTGGAGGCAGAGCATAGCGATCATGGCTAGTAGCCACCCACAGCCCTCTCCTCCATGAATTTGTCTTCTACCGAATTTCTCATGGCATGCATAATTTCATAAACTTCTGTCATGTCGCTTCTTATTTAACCAATTTAAATTTGAGTATCTTCTTGGGTTTAGCCACAGAATCCATACAATCAGTGGCTCAATAGAGATCCTCTGTGTGTTTAATCACAAATAAAGACTTGAACTTGGGTGAAATAATAATTGTTATTGCAATATCTACTTTTTATATCTGCTTTTAAAAAACATTCCAAGATGTTATTTGGCACCCTCCCTCAGTTCCTCCGCCAACTCATCTTGCTTTATAACATATCTATAGTTCAGAGTTCCATCATTATTCAGAACAGTTTCTGTAAAGTCTTAAATGAGCCAGGCATTTGCATATTCTGGTGGTGCTGAGTGACTGTCTCCCTCAATATTTGAATAAGAAATAAAACAATGGCATATTGTCATTCAACCTATGTCCTTTAGTTACTGATTTTGTTCCTCACAATTTGCTAGAATGTAGAGAAGGGGTGTCCAACTCAAATGGGTTATGAAACCAAATTACACCCACCCACCCCACCCCATCCCACACACACACACACAGAGATAGTTTTGTAATAAATCCTTGATCAATTTTGGCAGAAGAGTAGGGTGTTAGGAGGACTGGTGAATTAAAGCACCTCTCCTCCACTCAGCCCCCCGAATACCAGCTCTTCCTCCAAAGACCAAATGCATACAAACAACATGCTCCAAAATCCTTTCACGTTGCAGAAACAGCTGCTGTTATCACATGCTTGCATACACACATGGATGCACTCCTGCCAGCCAAAACAACCCCTGTTGCACAAGGCTCGGCTGCCTGTTCCCATAGCTTTCATTTTTGGTTGCAAGTGACAAATACATAAGAACAGAGGGAGAGCCTGTGGGATCAGACCAATGGCCCATCTAGCCCAGAGACCTCTTCTCACAGTGGTCAACTAAATGCCCCAATGAGAAGTCCACAATCAGGATCTGAGGATAAGAGCACTCTCTGCTGGCTTCCGTAATTATGTAAGAAGAGCCCTTGCTGAATCAGTGGCCCATCTAGTCCAGCATCCTCTTCTCACATGGCCACCCAGATGCCTTGTGGGATCCTCTCTAGCAGGACCTGAGTCATTGGTGACACTCTGTTCTTTCTGCTGGACTGCTAATAATTTAAGTGCAATGGAGAGAGGCTAATGCAGTTATCATTGGGAGACCAGCCCCCTTTCCCTACAGATAACATGCCTTTCTAGCATTGAAGTCAGCTCTTTTATTGTCTGGGGTGCTATGGGCCACGGTGGGGGGGGTTGTCCGGAAAGGCTCTTGTGCATTACAGTGGACACTCGGGTTGCGAATGTGATCCGTGCGGGATGCACATTCGCAACCCGCAGTGTTCGTAACCCAAAAAAACGCAACCTGAAGCGTCTGTATTTGTGTCAGCACTGACACTGGCAGCATTCATCTTACTTAGATTGTAATTTTAACTGATTCTGATCTGCTCAGTTTTATTTCCCTTAGGGTCGGAACTTAAGAAGAAAATGTGCTGCTTTACCTAGAAATAGGTGCTCTTTACTGCACTTCCTTTTGCTTAAAATAATATCTTTTTAATGCAGCATTTTAATCAAGCATGTCAGAACTGGATGCAGTTTTGTCAAATGCCCCAGATGAAAGTAGGAATGTTTCCTTTAAAAAAATCCCAACAATTCTTAACTTTATTTTTCAGTTTCTAAAAGTACACGTAACAAACATAAACATGTTATCCCTAACCCCCAATAAACATTCCATGCATATACCATGTAAGTAATGCAGCCAAACATGAAATTTTTAAATAGTTTAGAGTGGATCACATCAGTTAAATGTCTCCGTTGTCTAGAGCGATGATAATGCCAAGGTTTCACGTCTGATCCCCTATGGGACAGCTACATATACCTGCATTGCAGGGGGTTGGACTAGATGATCCTCAGGGTCCCTTCCAACTCTACAATTCTACTCTCTGTCTTAACAGATTTGCCCAGAGGAAGGTGTGGGCAGCTGTGGGTGGGGGGCAGCACTGCCCTTTCCAGCACACTGAATATACATGGGCCAGTGGCCATACAGTTTCAAAATCACCGTTGGCCTTTGTGTTCCTGAGCACGCTAAGATGCTTCATTCATTTCTCTATAAGGGCTGTGTTGCATAGCCTATCTCACCATGCCTCCAGAGTTAAGTTAGTAGCTGTTTTCTAATACTGCCTTATTTAATCAGTTTCCACCATTTCTTGTTTTTCAGAATTTTCTAAAGTGTCAAGGAATTGCCAAGCTAACCCAAATTTCAAGGGACCCAAAAATACGCTGCCACTCTTGACTAAGGAAGAAAAGAGGGACTATCGTCATCTCTCATACCAGAACTCCCACTTCATGCTGCAAGAGCCAAGGCTGGCATCGCCAATTTAAGTTTGTTTTCTAAGGTACATCAAAGGCCTCCACAATCTTTTCCAAGCAAGAAGATAACTGTGGGCAGCTTTCATGTGGCTGTATAAATCTCTGTTGGAAAATGCTTGTATCTTAGTTTGCCAACCGCGGTAAGATAGGTTTGACCGCAGGCAGAAGGAGCAGGGGTGAGCCAGGAGCTCTTCACTGCCCTCCCTTACCGGGTTTCAGAGTGAGCTTTTAAAATGCAGTGTCTTGGCATTCTTTTTTACGTAATGCAAAGGTTTATTGCAGTGACACATTTTTAATATCACATTTTTCATAGCAATTGTTAATTGGACCCCACAAACATAAACAGGATTCAGCCTTAGGAATTGGTGCCAACCACAAGTTATTTGAATAATTAATATTTATAAATACTGGTGTGGGGGTGTGTGTTTAACATATTGTTCTAGATTAATATGAAACACTACTTGATATGACAATAATATTTTATGTATTACTTGTGCTAAAGCCATAAACCAATTATAAGAAGGTAGCACCATTATCATTACAGTAGTGTGTAATACTAATTTATTTGCTAAATGGACTGTGCAATTTGTTTTCTAATATTCCCTCTAGCAACAGATCCAGGAGTTGGTTCTTAAAATATTTTCAGGAGCAGTCACAAATGGATGGATCCTCATCAAATTACACACATTCAGCCTATTCATTTTTCACAATATTGTTTTGAAATCTTTCCTAAAATATCCCAGCAGTGTTTTGGCTTTCTTGTGATGATGGTGGCACGATCCTGTTTGATAAAATTTGTATGGAGGTCAATCCATGAGGTCTCTCAATTATCCCTCTATATATGAAAGATCCAAAGATACTTTGCTGGAGAATAAACCTACACATGGTTTTAGACAGCTAAGTCGCAGTTGAACTCAGTGACAGAGGCATATTGAGGGCTGTTTGCACCCTTGGCAAGAGGCTGTATCGTTCTCCGCAACCCAAAAACCCCCACTTCTCCCATGTTTGATCTCACCACTTATTGAACATACAATTAAGCTGTAATTATCACTGGCCGTATTTTTTGCATCTCATTCCCATTCAGCTACCATCTTATAAATTTCTCCTTTGTATGCCTTGGGAGGGGAGGGGAGAGAAGATGAATTATTTCAACCCATGCCTTCTGGAAATGTGATATTCAAGAGTAACGACAACAGGATTGAAGTTTTATGCCCTTTTCTAAATTTTTCCAGCATTATGATATCCTTTAAGAGATGTGGTGACCAGAATTATAAACAGTATTTCTAGAGCAGTTGCTCCATAGACTTGTATAAAGCTGTTATGATATTGCCAGTTCTGTTTTCAGTCCTTTTCAAAATGATCCCTAAACTTTAATTCCCCCCCCTTTTTTTTTTACCGCTGCCACAACTGGATCAACATCTTAATTGATCCATCCACTATGACCATAAGATCTCGTTCTTGGTCAGTCACCACCAGCTCAGACCTCAATAACATACGTAATGTTAGAATCAGCAGGCATCACTTTACACTTGTCATTTAAATTCTCATTCACCCAGTTTGGAGAGATCCTTTTGGTCGCCTCATAGCCTCTTTTAGTTCAACAACAACAACAACAACCCTGTACAACTTAGTGTCATCAGCAAACTTTGCTGGACTAGATGATCCCATAGCTGCCAACTCTTCCCTTCTTTTAAGGGAAATCCTATTCAGAATAAGGGAATTTCCCTTTAAAAAGGGGAAACGTTGACAGTTATGGATGATCCTCAGGGTCCCTTCCAACTCTATGATTCTGTGATCCCCAGAAAGGACTAGAAAGATGCTGTGTCTCATGCTGCAAACCTAGGTTCAAAAAGCAGACAACATGCATCCAGTAAATCTAACTCACTATCACAGATGGGTAGGACCGGAACGATGAATTAAACCAGAATGGTTTTCTTATCTATTTCAAGATATAAGAATATTTATCCTACTTTCACTCCCCGCTCCATACCAAACACACCATCAGATACACAAAATAAAACTTCAGAATGGGTAGGTACACAGAAAGGATAAAGGTAAATGACTCCTGGACAGTTAAGTCCAGTCAAAGGCGACTATTAGATCAGGAAGGGAAACCCAAAGGAAATCTTCCTTTTTCGCCATAATTTCCAGTCTTCTCTCCCCAGCCCCACATTCCTAGAAAAAAAGAGATGCAGCAGAACCCAAATAAAGGGGGGGGGGACCGTTATTCTGCAGGGAAGCCAGCAAAAATGTTATTATTAGAAGAAATGAAAGCCAAAGCAAGAGAAGAGAGGCACTGCTTTGCTGCTAGAGCCGTTTTGAGAAGGAAACCAGAACCAATTAGAAACCCCTTAAATAATCAGCCAGCACAGCAATAGGTCCACAAGTAAAACTTGCAAACCTCAATGGGTCTCACACTGAGAGACTATCTGAAATTCCCCAGAAGATACCATCAGTTGCTACCTGCAAAGTTAGTGATTTAAGGGGTGAAAATCATCCAGATCTCACCTCCTGCTCCTGGCCCAAGAGAGAAGTAGTCCATTTTACAGCGTGAAAGCAGTTTGTTTGCTTGCTTATGCAAATCATACAACAATTGAAAGTTTTCCTCTTCAGCACAAAAGACTTCCTGGGGAGTGGGCTGAAAGGCTGTCTTTGGCTCTTCTACCCAACCAGAGGAGAGTCCCAAATCTGGCAGCAGGAAATCTCAACTTGGTTGCAAGGGGGTGCTCCTGAGTTGCAGAAAACAGCTAGAAACTGGGGACTTTTTAGTGGCCATGACCTCTGGATCTTTGAAGATTTAATCTTGGATACAAACTCTTAGAAATAATTGCATCCTCTGGAGAGTGTGGATGATTGGTATATTACTTTTAAAAAAATCTTTTTACTGTGTTAGGCATTATTCTCTCTCCTGCTTAGTTTTAAGCTGTTAAATTAGATTGGTTTATTTGTATTGTTTTATACAACCATATACCATTTTTTTGGGGGTATTTATTGATTGATGACATTTCTAATTGTTTCTAGCATACGATCACAGAAATTGCATATAGGCAAGCCTTTGGAACTGCCCCACAACTAGTGAATGAGGGTTAGAGAGAGAGAGTTCCCTGTTCTCCCAGAGCCTGTGTACAAATTGAGTCTTGCCCAGCAAGCAAGGCGGAGAGCTTAAAATCCGTTTTCACTCTGGTTCCTCTTGGGTTACCCAGTGCAAAACAAAGTGTTAAGCTCTCCACCTTGTTTTCATTTAATAATCCATATAAAAGGATGTCATATAGAGGAGGGAGAAAGGTTGTTTTCTGCTGCTCCAGAGAAGCGGACACGGAGCAATGGATCCAAACTACAAGAAAGAAGATTCCACCTAAACATTAGGAAGAACTTCCTGACAGTAAGAGCTGTTCGGCAGTGGAATTTGCTGCCAAGGAGTGTGGTGGAGTCTCCTTCTTTGGAGGTCTTTAAGCAGAGGCTTGACAACCATATGTCAGGAGTGCTCTGATGGTGTTTCCTGCTTGGCAGGGGGTTGGACTCGATGGCCCTTGTGGTCTCTTCCAACTCTATGATTCTATGATTTCTGTGCTCCTTCTCTACTCCTGCTGCTGCCAGGAAACAAGTCAGAGTCTAGTTCAGTGGTTCCCAAAGGGTAGAGGTGGGATTATGTAAGGGGGTTCTAAGAGGCAAGGGGACAGCAGGAGGCGCTGAGGGTGTAAATGATGCTCAGACTTTGAAAAGCTGCTGTCACTGGATCAGGTTCATTAGTTTGGTTCAGGGGTCAGCAACCTTTTTCAGCCGTGGGCCGGTCCACCGTCCCTCAGACCTTGTGGTGGGCCGGACTATATTTTGAAAAAATGAATGAATGAATGAATTCCTATGCCCCACAAATAACCCAGAGGTGCATTTTAAATAAAAGGACATATTCTACTCATGTAAAAACACGCTGATTCCCAGACCGTCCGTGGGCCGGATTGAGAAGGCGATTGGGCAGCATCTGGCCCCCAGGCCTTAGGTTGCCTACCCCTGGTCTGGTTGGATCAATTAAGCGGAACAGTTTTTGTTGGATTTTGAATAAATGTGCAAGTAACTGATACTGTTCCAAATTTTATTATCTTATTATATTCCTTAGTGGATCATGAAAAACGCTATTCTAAATAACATTCTTTATAAGGTAAGGTTGGTGGGGAATGGGCACCAGCTTATTGGAACCAAGGGGCTGATGGGCCAAAACTGTTAGGGAACCAGTGGGCTAGCTTGTTGCGATGTCCAAACTTGGGCTTTTGGTTTGTTTTTCTCCAAACAAGGAGCAAATAAGGAGCTTACTGCTTGGAAGTTTGCTTTTTCCAAAAGAAACCGCACAGCCATGAACTCTGTCCCTTTTCCTGGCAACATAGCAGGAGTTGTGGCAGTGGGCGGGGGGGGGGGGGGAGGAGGGAGGGAAGAGAGAGCAAAGTGGGAATTTTTTAGCCATGTCTGAAAATGAGGTTTCAACCATGGTTCAACATGATGGTGTGAACTTGACAGTATAGACGCTGTCTGTATTTTAGCAATCAAACCTATGGCTAGACTCTTGATGCTCCTTGTGGGAGGTGGCTGTTATTTCAGACCACCTTCTCAGATAAATCCCTTTCTCTGAATTTATTTATTTATTTATTATTTCACAAAATTTAGACATGGCTTGATTATTTAAAAAAAAAAACACCCCACAACAACCCTTCAACGTGGTTTACAAAGGGAACAAAGCAATAAAATTATCACTAAAAACAGTAAAAAAAAAACCTCTTATAAACATATAAAAGATTAAAGCAGCAATAAATGAAAAACAGATTAAAACGTGTGTCAGCATTCTACATGTCTGCGCAGGTAGGTCTAAACAAAAATGTTTTTACCAGGCACTGGAAAGAGTGCATTGAAGGTGCATTGCCTGATGTCAATAAGCAGGGAGTTCCAGACTAAAAGATTGATTTCTTGCAAATGTGGAACAGGCAGTGCCCGTAATAGTGCTAATGCCACAGATTGAAGCAGTCAGGGTAAGGCAGTCTCAGACAAACTGGTCCCAAGGTGCTAATGGCAATCTTTTTGTTAAGCCCCACTACCTGAATAAGGAAAGGTATGGGGTTTTCTGCCTTCTCCACCCGGACTTCCACCTTTCTCAGCTCAACATGGAGGCCAACAATCCCCTCTTTTCTTCCCCTCCTTTCCAGGTCACGGGCAGCCTGCGCGCCCCCTTTCGCATTCCACCCCCCGAGGCCTCGCAGTTGAGATGAGGAATTCAGACGAGCAAACGGCCACGACAGTTTTACAGCGCCTGCTGCAGGAGCAGCTGCGATATGGGAACCCAAACGACAGCCGCAACCTCCTCGCTTTGCACCACCAAGCTACGGGCAACGCACCCACTTTCGCCAGCAACGGGAGCCCAGGGGCTCCAAGCGAGGGGCTGAGCCCCCAGGACCACCAGGCCGGAGCCCATGTTGCCCGCCAGGAGCCCCAGGGCCAGGAAATACAAATGGACAATAGTGTCATGGAGAAGCAGCTCTCCCCAAGGCTCCAGAACAGCGAAGACCTCCCAACCTATGAGGAAGCGAAAGTCCAGTCCCAGTACTTCAGGGGCCAGCAGCACGCCAGCGTTGGGGCAGCATTTTATGTGACGGGGGTCTCCAACCAGAAGATGAGGACTGAGGGGCGCCCGACAGTCCAGCGTGTGAGCCCTGGGAAGGTCCACCAGGACGAAGGACTCAAGGACCTAAAGCAAGGGCACGTCCGCTCCCTGAGCGAGAGGCTGATGCAGCTGTCTCTGGCCACCAGTGGCGTGAAGGCCCACGCGCCCGTCACAAGCGCCCCGCTCTCCCCACTCTCCTCCCAGCAGACCAACGACTTCTACAAGAACTCTGTGACAGCTCCTCCCCAGCCAAATATGAAAGGGATGGAGCACAGGGGGCCTCCTCCTGAGTACCCCTACAAAAACATGCCCACCCCTCCGATGAGCTGTAAGCAGATGGATCCCGGGCATTTCTACAGCGACCACCGCCTGGGTCAGCAAGGCCGAGCTGACGGGCCACTGATGAGGTACCAGCATCCTCCTGAATATGGATCTTTCAGGTAAGCAGCCTGCCTTTCATGCACAAAACCAAAGAAAGGGAGCAATTCAGCCCAAGGTCCTCAAAGGGCCCAGAATGAGCTACGGTAAGCCCGCAACATACACTAGGCTTATATTCCAAGGATAACACCTAAAGCTAAAATCGCTTATAGTCAAGACACATTGGGTTCAGTGGTAAGCCGGATAGCCAAAGTCATTTTTCCTGAAACCCTGCACTCTGTCCACCCCCTTTTAATTTTTCTTGCAACACACATAACTGCTGATTGCGCACAAGTTAAATGCACATAAGTTGTGGGCTTACTGTATTTTGCTGGCGCTTTTGAGAATTTCTTCTTGGCTTTTTCCTTACCTGTCTGCACAAACCATCCTTGGGAACTTGTGGTATTTTCAGGTGATGTCTCAGTTTTGTACTTTGCTAATGGGAATCAAGAGAAAATAAGGAGCCTGCAGGATGCAGGCCAATGGCCCATCTAGTCCAGCATTCTGTTCTCACAGTGGCCAACCAGATGCTCAAGAGCCCTTTTCCTTACTGTGGTTTCCAGGAACTAGTATTCAGAAGCATTTCTGTCTCTGACACTGGAGGCAAAACATGGCCATCATGGTGGCCAGTAGCCATCCTGATGTGAAATTGGCTTTCCTTAAAAACAGCTGGAGGAACAAGAGGACTTCCTGATAGCTGCACCTGTCACTGAAAAGTGCTATAGGCAGAAAGGGATGTGAGAGGCCTGACCCTTCCAGGATAGAGGTTACCAGAGTGGTAATTCTCCCGCTGGTGGTTTTGCATAGCAGTTACTGGGCCATCACTCAGGCTAGCAGCAGTCAGCTCAGTCAAGCTTCCCATTCACTTAGATCTGTGCATCAGGCCTTCTTGGTTGCTCCTATTGACTACCAGTGTAGATCTTGTGGCAACCAGAGACAGATATTTTGCTGGTGTAGCACATTTGTTACTCTTGCTCCCTGCTGGAGTATGTTTTAGAGTTTGTTAGAGACTGATATATATAAACAAACAGTTGCTCATCTTTTTACCAGCCTCTTGAGTGACATGTTTTCTGTTTGGCATTGTTGCAGGGAGGTTACTATGGGAATGTTGTACAGCATTTGTGTTTTTTGCGTACTACTGTTTCAGTGTTTTTTTTGTAAACCATCCTGGAATTTGATAACAAAGAGCAGTTATATTTGTAAGTTAAGCAGATAACTAAAATAATAGACTGTAGAAAGTTGTGATAGTCAGAGCTGTTGCTCTGTCTATCTCAGTATGGTCTACACTGAGTGGCCGTGGTTCTCCTGGGTGTTGGGCATAAGATACCTAGGGATCCCATTGAGAATTGAACTTGGCACCTTCTTCATGCAGAGCAGACGCTGTACTGCTCAGTTAGCTATGGCTCCTGCTGTGGACGTCTGTGGCTTTCAAACTTACTTCCCCCAGGGCACAAGTGCCACATCAATTTATTCACTGCAGAATGCTTGCCCATTGCAGAGGATTCTGGGAAATGTTCCAGGGTACCCTCTTCCATGCCTTCCCCTTTTGGTCTCCATGAACAGAAACCACACTCTGCAGCAGGATGCTGTCAGCTCTCTGTGGCTGCTCTTGTGGTGTACTGCATGGTTGAGCAAGGGTTTCGTTGAATATAGTCTGAATTAGAACCTGGTGGTGTGTTCAGCAAGCCCAGCCCTCTCATTAGACAGTGTGAGGCAGATTCTCGGGGGCAGCTGCAGCTCACAGTTATTGCTCCAGAGCCTCTAGCAACTCCCCTCTGTTGCCACATAGCCTCCCTTTGTCCCGCCCCTGCAATTTGGCCTGCTGCCTCAGGGTTGGTGGAGGATGCTCTCCCATTGCTAGTGTTCAAGTAAGATCCATTTGCCAGTCCGGTGGGATTCCAGGACCTGAAAGAGAGCTCCATCTGGCCCAACCTTCAAACCTTTAAGAGCCAGTGTGGCGTAGTGGTTAAAGTTTTGGACTAGGACCTGGGAGGCCAGAGTTCAAATCCCCACTTGGCCATGGAGCCCCGGTCACTGCCTCTTATAGCCTAACCTACCTCACAAGATTGTAGTGGGTGTTAAATGAGGAGGGGGATAAACCATGTGTGCCACCTTTCGCTCCTTGGAGGAAAAAAGAAGGGATCTAAATGTGATATATAAATAAACTATCCTTTCTGTCTTCAAATCTTTATTGTTATGATCAATGTAAGAAGCACACAAAACACATTGTCCAGATATGCTGAGTAGGGTTTAAAATAAAACAATCAGTTCAGTCATTTATTCATTGCATTTCCATCCTACCTTTTCCTCTTAAAGAGCTCAAGGTGTGGTGTGCATGGCTCTGCCCCTCATTTAATGAGATTCACGGCCAAGTGGGTAGGTGGGTGAGATTTGAGTCCTGGTCTCTTCCAGGTCCTCATCCCCACACTGGCTCTTGCCTTCTTGACAGCAAATAGAATCTCTAAGCATTCGACAGAAGAACAAAGCATTAAAACACTGGACATGGGACAAAGTTGCAAGCATCTGTTTGTTTGTTTACAAAAATAATAATTCAAAATACAGTTAAAATTGACGATTGAGCTGAAATATAACTAAATTGCATTTCAGCATTCCACATATCTAGATAGGCTTGCCTAAACAAAAATGCTTCTAGCCTTCGCCAAAAGGAGTACAGGGAAGGCGCATGTCTGATGTCAGTTGTTGCCTTGACCGTGTACATCCCCCTTGGTATGTGTTCTTGGAGAGGCACTGAGATATCTCTCTCTGTCTGTCTGTCTCTCTCTTGTTGTATGGACGCATAGGCGTTTTCCTTCCACATTGGTTCGACACTTGCCTCACTTGCTGAGGGAAGAGTCTGGTGTTCTTGAGTCTATAGGATTCTTGCTGTGCTTTTGGCTCAGGCATTGATGATGGAGCGTTTTTTTTCCAAATCTGGTGCCTCCAAAGATTGGAAATGTAAGCCTAGGCTTACCGGCTGCTTTGTTTCACTGAAGAAACGTGTTCTCCCATCCAGGAGTGACTCCGTTACCTTCTACACTTCACGATACGACATGTGAGTTGTCCCAAATATCAACAAAAGTTCTGTGCATTTTTCAGATTGCAGGTAGACCATTGATGGGGTTTTGCTGGATGAATTCTGCGCTGCTTCTCTGTTTTAAGCTTTGGTTTGCATGCATGATTTGAAATTAGTTGTATAATACCTCTGAATAGAGATTGAAGAGCAGCAGGAAAGGACCCCCCCCTTTCTGATTTGTTGGTTGATGTATTCTAAATTTTGTCCTTGCAGAAAAGTTTTCATTGCAGAGGGGGTTCGACTGGATAATCCTTTGGGGGCCTTCCAGCTCTTCAATTCTGTGACTCTATGAAATGAGAAATATGATTGCTGCCCAGCTTGGACCAGAATTTATTTATTTGTCCCAGTCAGCAAATTGTGTCCAATATTCTAGCCAGTGGGAATATTAAAAGAGTTTACCTGAGCACATGCAGAGTGCCTTTTCCTCCCATTGAGCAAGGGAGCCACCAGCTGCTACTGCTGCTGCTGCTGCGCTGACAGTCAGCTTTATTGAACACAGCCAAAGGCATTTCCAGTACAAAAATTATATAGTTTCTAAAGCAATGCATGAATTAAAGGAGATGCATGTTGCAGAAAGTCACAGGGCAACCATTAGTAGCCATGTGTGCCATCCAGCAAGGGTAACGAAACATTTTGTTAAGATTTATAATACATGATAATTCTTGACAGTGCAAGTTTAGCTACCGAATGTGTAATGTGTTTATCAGCTAGACATTTTGAATACAGCTGAAGAATAGGGGATAAATATCTCTCTTTGGGCTCCAAATGGAAAGGGCAGAACAGCAAATTTTATTTCTTACACAAATTTTATTCCTTAAGACTATATATAATCTTTATTCTCAATAATGAGCATAATATTATTATCCATAGGTGCATAATACTTTTATTTTTATAAATTTTTATTATTTGTAAAAGGAATATTTGTATAAGTTAATACTTTATTATTTCTTTGGACCTGTACTATAGCTTTGCACTTTTGTCCTTCCATGCTGCGGCACTTAATGGCTTAAATTTTTGATTCTTTGTTATGTCTGCACTTCGTTGCAATTATCAAATCAATAAAAGAAAAGCAGATATGCATGGAGATATGGATAATATTTTAGATCTGATTACAGCTGAATATCCATATCCATTCTGCAACTGAGATTCCAAGGTGTCTCCTGTCCAAATATGCTGAGGGCATCTGCCAAAACCTAGGTTTTGTAAAAGCTCCGAGGAGCTGTGAATAGAAATAACGGCGCCTTGAATGATTGATCTTGATTTTAGGTGTACCAGATTGGGGGGGGGGAAGCATCAACCACAGATGCTTTGTCTTGATCAACATCATGATCCAAAATCCAGTTCGTAAGAACATGGGGACTAAGATATTTCCGCATGGGGAGATTACAAATCCTTTGTCTAACTTTTATTTAGGGCTGCCATTTATCTGGGGGGGGGGGGATTTTGGATTCTGAGGTTTTCCGTAAAAGAAAAAAGCTCAACAACTTTTTTATTATTATTTTTATTAATTATTTTATTTTATTTATTGCCTACCCATCATCCTAAGGTCCTAGGGAGGTTTGCAATAGGAGTACTATTTAATAGATCTCTTACATGGAAGAACACATAAATTAAAACAGTGAAATAGCATTTCAAATGCTCCAACCAGCAAAGCTTAGCCTTCCAGGCTGTTTAGTCTAGGACAATATCTGATGTACGCTAAACAAATTCTAGCTGCAATCAATGAAGGACCAAGCTCAAGGCTCCCCATGTCTGCTTCATAAACTTATTCCGCAGAATTTCCAGCTCAGATTTGGCTCCTATTCCCCAAGCTTATGCCCCACGTAACATTTGTGTTGTGATTTTAGCCACAAAGATCTTAAGAGCAGTATCGATTAATTAGCCGCCTTTTGTATGGACCTGGCATGCAGTAATTTAATTGTACCCATAAGAGTTTCTCATCAAGTGGAT